CTTTCATTGTTATCCACTCCTGACGATACAAACATCCGTAAATTTACATATGAGTTGCGCTGGTCTAGGACTCAAGGAAAAGTAATCATGATCCGAAATGCTATCAATAAACTTTTCTTTGTTGTTATGAAACGTGTTCACTATACAAATGATCGCTCCCACTTATGGGGCCGTGTACCGTCCGTCGGTAAATATACAAAATTTATTTATTTAACTGCGGGAAAAATAGAACAGGCTTACAAACATAAGCTGACTGCCTGTGCTAGACGTCTGTCCTTGGCTATAAAAGCTGAAATAAAAATGGCCAACCGCTATGTATATCCAGACCGCTTTAGGCAGCCACGGTTACCGTGATCTGTGGAGGCTTCTAACACGACTGGAAAGCATTCCTTTAGTACACTTATCACCGAGGATACAGGGCAACTCAACGCTGAGTTCAGCTTCTTATCACCTAACACACTCCCCTTGCTTTTTTTCCCCACTGTTGAGCCTCCCATTTTATTTGATTCCACAGCTGTTTACGAGGTGCTCACAAGAGTAAAACCAACCATGATTAGTAGACCGGATGCTCTATCAGAATTCTCTCTGGAAGAATGCACATTTGTTTTAACAGCACCTCTGATAGAGATCTTGGATCGATGCTCAATGCCAAGTAGCATCCCCAACATTTGGTGCTCAGTCAGTTTAACACCAGTGCCTAAAAGGGATCTCGGAAATGTCGGCCACGCACGTCGATGCTACTATAGAGGCTGTGAACTCTACCTATGCTTCGTATTTTCACAAGCCATCATACTAATGATGTTAACTCGTCTGCCCATAACCCATGGTACTACATTGGATGCCGTTTCTTATGTGGTGCATTCCATTGCTTTGGCGCTGGATAACATAAAAGAGCTCCTATTTCCCGATAATTTCAACGACAGTTCAACATTTGTCCGGAAAGAGCACCCCTCCGCATGTGTGTAGTATGATTCGTGATTACTTTCCAAATTGCGGCTATGCGAACGAAAATCTTCTGTACTCCCAGACATTTGTAGTGCTTTGCAGGGAATCATCTTATCCCCTTCTCGATGCTCCACCTATGTTGAACTTTTCCCTATTCCATCAAACTTCATAGTATGTACCCCAATGCTGATAGCGTCATCCCGGCTTGCATGACCCCAATCATTAGGGACTCTTCGAAACTAGACGAACTAGTGACTTGGTCCAGTTCCCAATCCTTCTCGACCCTTCCAAGTGTTGTGACGTAACGTACTGTTTTCTACATCCCAACAGACTGCAGTCCCTTCTACATATCTATCATTATGGATGACTTCGTACTTCCACCGTAAAATATCTAGGAGTTTTCCTATCTCACAATTTATTTTGGTCTACACATATTTTGGAAGCGTTTAAAAAGATCAAAAGACTCTTTTTACCCCTTCAGGCTCATAATGCTCCACATTTCCCTGTGCTCTAATTCTCCGGTTTGTGATTGCATGTATTTGTGCCTCACTGGTTATACTGTTACCCTGTAACTTTCCCTTGATTGCTTTAACAAGAGTATGTCCTTCTTGTCCGTTCACCAAAATTTATTTTTCTCGCTATTCTTGTTTACGGAAGGAACCGCTCATTGCTTTCATTGTTAACACGCCTTTCCGTTGCGTACATCAACTTTTGATCTAAGATTTTCAACGACCTCACTGTTTACACAATATTCTACTTGGCACTATATCTACTTCGTCCACACGGTCATAATTTATATTCTCTTACGTCGTCGTCGTCATATCAAAACTCCACTCTGCTTTATGTATCACACTCATTAACCGGCCCATAGGGAATGCAACGCAGCTTGCGTGACCGTATGTTTGAGTGAAGTTGCAACTATTCGTTTATTTTAATGTACTCATGTCCTCTGCAACGTTCGTAACTGCGCTATATCGCAGTTAGCTTGTAAATCATGACGGTCTGAAGCTGTCCCCCGTGGCCCAGTGGCATAAGCTGCTGACAGGTGGTTCAAGCCGTTGGTGGTCATGGGTTCGAATCCTGATGGATGCGCACTACTGACGATGCCCAACAGGCTGAAACTGCAGTCTAGTGCTTTTCCAGGCATGTGGACGACTTTCTGATTTGGAAACTGGCTGCGAAGAACCTCGATTAATTTATTCGTTTATTGTTGTCTATTATTATTAGCATTTCTCATTGATGCTTTGTTGTCTTATATTCCACAGTGTCAGTGATTAAATGATGGAAATGCGCCCATATGGTTGGATAAAGGTTATTTTGATTTGTCTTGACTTTCTGATCGATGATGGTGGTTGCTCAGATGCATACATGCACACACACACACACACCAACACAATACACGAGGGCCGGTGGGGTGACGGGGCCAACTGGGTTACTGTCTTTGATCGAGAAGGACGACGCTCACGGTCAAGTCAGCGCACAGCTACAGCAAGCTGGGCGCTTTCACCAGTGCCCCCTGCACTGTTCGGGTTTCATTGGCCGGCTGGGGACGTGGTTTGAAAATCCTCCAAATGGATTTGAATAACGTCCAGTTCGGTTTTAAAAAATATCCATTTCGAAGGCAAAAGGATACATTTGACTGATTTAATTCCACCGTCGCTGAGCTTCACTGGCATGTGGGTGCTCTGGCGTGTCCGCCCGCTCCGCGAGGTCCCTGGCTCCAACTCTCATACAACTCGCTGGCAATTGTTTGACGTTTGTCATACGTGTACGATGCCTGGTCGGTGCTGTGCATGCCTCTCACGATCTCTCTGTAGGTGTAGCAATTCTACTGCTGTTCGTGGTGACAATGTAAAGGTGCTTGAAAGAATACATCAGCTTTTTTTTCTCGACGATGGGAGACACGTCTGTATCTGTATGGTCTGGTAAATACATACTTGCGTGCAAAACGTTGATCACAAATGGATCAGACAAATTATGCTTTGGCTCAGATGGTTGGCGGCATCCGGTTTCGGAGTTGTCTGTCACTGTGGACAGCCACAGGACGCCTGTGCCTACACAAGGACCATGGGTAGCATGCGCTACACCACCCACAGCTCCAACCACACACCCCATATCCAGTGTAAACCCGAAGGAATAAGATCGGGAGGCATGTGAATGGGAGCCACGTTTCATCAACGGAGCCGGCCCACACTCCTTCACAGGCAAACACAAGCACACTGTATTTGGGAATCAAGCGCACACAAGGCGGTGGCTGGACCGTAGTCCGCTCCACACTGACTGCATGGAACCACTCTTTGATCCTAACACGACCACAAGGGCCGGGCACCCCGCCCCCTCCAGGAACGACCAACTGTCTCTTGTAGCCAGTATGAACGAGGTAGTGGGTAATAGACAGGTAGGCACCTTGTCAACATGCACATCAAGCGCAGCCACACCGCGGATATCAAGCAACAGCCAATCAGTTAAAATAACGATATGAAATAATATCACTCCAATAATGCATACAGATACGGTGGCATAACTCTTCGATAAATTAGCATATTAATGAAGTTGGTTAGCAACGAATCCGTGATAAGTACAAAATGTCCAGAAGTTACTCAAAAATGCTACAAACGCAACAAATTTACTGAAGATAATCGCAATTAGCGTAAGCAACATGGTCAGTATATAGAAGATTACTCAGGTAGGCAGAACAAACCAAATAAAGTGGAATGAAATTTATCCAGTTTAAAAAGTCCTAGTTTAAGTGTAAGTTAGTTTAGCCCATCTGCGGTGAAGAAGCATCATGAATGCAACATCAGCCTCAGATAAGGACGTACGTAAAGACATCATTGGCACATAACATGGTTGACTGAAATGAATTGATGTTGGCCGATCTTCAACGACTCTCTCGCATACGTTATTACATCATAGCTAACTCACCTAAGGGATTGTAGGGACGAATGAAGTCTTGGGTCATATGAAACCTGGATTCATCTCGTATGCTTTTCCGGTTCTTATGCCGTCATTCCATACTTCTGCACACCTTTTTCTATACCCATTACATGCGTGGACTTATTTCCCTCCAATATAGCCGCATGGTTATCAGTCAATGGTGTGTCAGAAGCACATGAAGCCTCTGAATGGACTGATTGCAATAGTTTAAATCTTACTTTATGGGGTGAAGGTCACGTGAACAACCAAATTTGTGACCCCCGGTTGTGTGCTACAGTTGGAGACCTTTCCACTAATATTTTTGACTACGAGTATTGCAACGTTCCTCTACCACTCCATCCCTCACGCTTACCACCCTTTATTGTACCAGCGTTACAATGGGGTGTGCTTTTCTTCTCGGGATGCATTTCACTTTGGCTACTACGAAACTCTTCATAGCGACTGGTTTCATACCGGAGCTTGTGTTACAGTGAACCCTCTTTTAATACAATGTTCTGAATCTTCTTGTGAACAATATTCCGCGAAACTGTTTCCATCTACATTATTTGCCAGCCCAGTGTCATATGCTCTCATTCACCTTGTCGTCTGCGCATAATAGCTATGTGGACTTTGAACCGTAAGGATACATCACCAGTACGTTGGTATGCGCTAAAAACGATTCGATGCCAAGCGACTACCATCAGTCTGGCGTGCGGATTAGGAATACTACGAGATCACTCGGACCTACGCAAGTTCGAACCGGTGACCTTTGAGTTTAACGGCAGACGCCTCATGTCTGTGATCACTGTCCGACGAGGCGGGCCGTACTTCATCAGCACTGGCCACTTGTTGAAACAGGTTTCCAAAGTCCTCTCTGTGCCAGGAAGCACCATGACTCCAATCTTAATCAAAACCAGAGTCTACTCGCATCCGATACCAGGTTAATTGATGTTTGCTTGAACTGAATCGAATAACAGGCTCCATTTCTCTCTGCTAGAGTGCCCATTGAATGTGTTATTTAATCGTTTTTCCCCTGCAACTAGGCTGGCGAGCTTGTTACCTGTGATTCCCCCTGCTAACCTGTTTAAATCCGCCATCATTTTTCGCAACTCATGCTTCTTTTGCCTCACCTGCTTCAGAATACATGAACTACGAGGGAACCAAATTTTCCAAGAGTCGTGGCATCGGTGTCTTTGGCAACGACGCCATGAAGTCTGGCATTGACTCCAATATTTGGCGTTTCTATCTTCTGTACCGGCGACCCGAAACGCAGGTAGGTTCACACGATGTGATTTCATCATTGTTTACTACGTTGGTTGGCTAGAACAACAGATTGCTGCTACTGGTTTAACGGTTCTGGTCATTTTTGCGTGTGAACTACAATGGTGACCTTACTTCCACTCACCTAGGTCATGGTGTGCGTGCCACACCTCACATGTTTTCCATCCATTCACTTCATGAGCTTTCTCATTCCGAGTGCGTTTGCAAAAACAGTCGAGACATCGATTTGTTTGCTGTTGTGCTTCACACCTGATCAGTTACCACCACTCATCCGTGCGCGCTCTTCGTTCTGTTGTTCCAATTTTCAGGACAGCTCGTTCATGTGGGACGATTTTATGCTGGTGAACAACAGCGAATTGTTGAACAATGTGGGGAATTTTGTCCATCGGTAAGTTGTCGTCAAGCCCCAGATACACTCCATTTCTACCATAATTGTTTTGAACCTTAGCTAAGATTGGGAAGCACCGTAGCGATGCATTAAAAAAACCACAACGAAAGCAACTTAAAACCGAGACACCATTATGTTTTGTCTTTTAATTATACATAATTAATGCGATTAATGCGCAGAAAGCGCCAATGGTTTTCCATCCTCGATACTCTGAGGGTAGCATTGCTTGTGTCGTCCAAACTTTTTGTTATCTCTTTCCTGTAGTACTTAACTAAATGCACCCCACTCCCAATGAGTTCAATTCGTGTTAACCTGCATAGTTTGACCAATACCGCAATTTCTCATCACGAACACTGGTCGTACAGCGATCCCTTCCAACTTTTGTGTCAGATTCACTTTTTTGCACCGTTTCACAACTCCAGTGCAGTTATATGGCACGCAGAAGACGGTTCTCGGAGTACACTATGATCACTCAGCCTTGCACAGCTCAAACGAGAGACCAACTCATGTTTGTCCCTTGAACTATGAAATGGCTGAGTGTTTGTCCGTCTCAATTTTTATTTGGCCTGATTCGGACCGATCACCATCATCTTCATATTACTCCTTTTAAGGCATCGCACGTGGCAGTCACTGGCTACCTTCCACTAATTTTGTTGCTCCGACTGTTTGTCGCATCTGCCACAGTGCTTGTCCATAAGGCAGAACAATCACTGAGGGTTCGATGAAAATCGATCGGCTACGAAACAGTCTGTCCTTTATAGCGTACAGCCAATCAGAGTGCTTACTCAGTTAACGCGGTTAGTAGTTGATCCCGTGTTTCACTCTTCCGCTTTGACTCGCTGACGTTGTAGGGGCTAATCGTGTTACTACGTTCGGCTTAGGTACTTTCACATCCCCGGGACAACTTTGGGTCAGTCGCTTTTCAAAGACTCATCGCTGTACATCGTTGATTGACACACACCGATTCTATCGGGTTGATGCTGCTCCTGTAGCGCTTCTCTGTCTTTCAACGTTGACTAAATTACATCCTACGTATGCCCGTCGATCCTTTTCTTCCGCCTGCTCCGTCGCTTTATTCAACTCCGACTAGTTTAGCGCACTACTTGCTTTCATTTTTTATTCTGTTCGTCTCCAATCTCTTTTTCATGTTTTTGTTATTTGTTTTTGTTCTGGCCATCCGAGTCGTGGCAACTGGATCCACCGCATTTTGACTCCCGGATCACAGTTGTTCAACGGAACTGAACTCTCTCTGTTTGATCCCTTCGGACTCTCTCTCTCTCTCTCTCTCTCTCTCTCTCTCTATATATATATATATATATATATATATATATATATATATATATTCCGTAGTATATGAATTAACATGGAGCCGTTAAATCATGGAAATCCAAGTTAGGGACCGTTGCCGTAAAAAGATAATCGAACACAAACAAGTTCATGGTTTCATTAGTGAGCACGATACTGCCCGGTTGTACAATCCTAGGTATTGCTTTGAATTAGGCGGATTTCAAGCCGAACCTTTTGCTGAATAGCCTGTTCGCAAGGTATCGGAGCGAATTCAGAGAATCGCACTCATTGGGAGCCGGTGATCGATCACTCAGTTCACACATCTTTCGTTTGGTCGGTTGTGAAACAAGGACCCAATCCTCCCCACACTCAGCGTCACGTCGCTGGTATACAACGCTCCACCAGATTGGAACAAGGGGCAATGACTTTATTCAGTGGCTATTCGCATCTGCCACGTCCGTGTTGTCTAACGGTCATATGTGGTTTCTTATACGGAGAACGCTTGTCAGGCGCAAACCCATCACCTCCTGAAACACTACCGCAGAACCGTTTGTTTGGACTGGATAAACCTGAGCTACCCAGACGGTACCACGTGTATGTTGTTGAGCAAAGCAGCTGAACCCTCAGCTTCCACCACACAGGTGGCGTCTGTAATTCTCTTTTGCATTCACGTCCACATTATTCCTATACAAGCTGTGTGACCCATAAGAACTGCGATTCGCTCGCTGCACATTGCCTGACACTAAGGCTTGCACCGTAACGGCTTATGAGGTCGACACGAGATACTTCTTGCCGAGCTCATAAGAATGCAGCCTATTCATCGAGTTTGTGTGCCTGTTATCTCTACCTGGTGCCATCGGACAGGTTCGAACCCGGCCATGAAATGCAGTGTTTTCGGCTGGACAATACCCATTTTCCATCAATCTGCATATCCTTCTTTGTGGAACTAAATAGCTTACCGATCTCTTCCGCCTGGTACTCGCTCGTAACCTCAGTGAAAATCACCTCTCTTAGGGATCAGCGCTGCGTTCCTGCTGACTTGCAGTTAATATTTGCTTTTATGACTCTATGATTTCTCGTTTATAGGTCAGTGCACACCAAGGTCACCAGTCTTGCTAATAGGCCCGCATCTGTTATCAATTACTGCAATCTGGTTACTACAAGTCAGGTAGTGTTGAACGAGACGGAGCTTTGATTACTTGCAAATAGCTTGGCTTTTACCATCACTAAATCTGTGCCAAGGGCGGTACCGAATTCTCTGTGTTGTGGCCACCGTAACATAACTGCTCGTTTCAAAAGCCGAGATTATTAGGGCACAGCGAATTTGCATTCTCACCCGCCTTGTGAATTTACTGTTACACCAACAGAAAGTGTCACATTGGAGGAAGATTCTCTCTTTATCATCTCGAAAGCCACTGCAAGACTATAATAATGTCTAACATATGCGTGGCGATCTTCCTTAACTCAACCAGTCTGATGCGTTGGCGGACGGGTTCAAACTGGCGAGCTGGCGTTAACTCACTCCGACCCACAACACCAACAAGGATTTATGTGTGGCGATCTCGTAATGTGAACCACTTTGGACCTCCCATTATTGTCATAACCTTTTGAGATGTTGACACACTGACTTTTAACGGTGCCTCCTGTTTAACATATCCCTCGCTTTTTTGTTTGATTATCTTCCCATTCTACTATATACGCTACCACAGTTCATTTGGCCTAGAGAAACTTTTGTGTCAAAAACGGAACATTGCCTACCAATTGTCCCTGTCTTTTTCAAGGCCTTATGAAATCACGTGTTCTCGATCGGCTCCAAACATGCGCCAAAATGTTGCAGCTTCGAATTATTCTCCTACCTTCTTCTGAGCACTCTTTGTGCTCGTTCCTCTGAGCAACCGCCGCTATCGCACCACAGTTGTCGCACAATTCCAAAGCGTTGCATTTTTTTGACTTACACAGGGAATTGGAGTGTCGTAAACTGTTTATTGCTTACGCTTTCCTGCTTCATTCCTCACCGGTTTCTCGAATGTGCTACCTGACAGCTGGGCGAGAAAGCTGATTGTCAACGCTCGCGTGTTTGCCACAAATCGTGCTTGGGAAAGACCCTGCGAGCGTGTTGCCAGGGCCCTGCCGAAATCTGATGAAATCGTGCATCAGACAACAGGTGTGTTGCCAAGGCCTGACCGGAAGCTGATGAAATCACGCGTCAAACATCACGTGCGTTGCCATGCACCGGGTAGGCGGACGAAGACTGGACTGCCCGAGGGTTGGCGAGACCGGCATAAATATGAGCGTTCCCTGTCCTAATACAACTCTGGTCTGCTGAGTCTTCTTCTGTCTTCCTTCCTGTCAGGTTTGCCAAGGCGTCAAACAGAGCACGCGTAAGGGCGCAGATTTAGCAGCAGACGTGAATCAACCGGTCAATTGAGGACTCATCGTTATAACAGTTGCCATGCTAGTACAATCCAACCCAGAAATGGTAATCAGCTTTGAACAATTGCAGGTGTTGTTGCAGCAACAGCAGGCGCGGTATGAAGCATCCCAGGCCAAGCTGATCGAGATGCTAACTCAGAAGATGACAGTGCAGTCAAGCCCGGAGTTAGGGACAAGTAAACGTGGTCCCTCACCGAAAACCCTGACTCAGCAGATCAGTGAGTTCCATTATGACGCTGATGCCGGTATAACATTTCTTTCTTGGTTCCCCAAGTATGAAGACATGTTCCGGGTTTATTTTGCCAACCTTCCAGCGGAAAAGAAGATTCGACTAATGCTGCGGAAGCTGGGTGCTGCCGAACACGCGATGTTCAATCTTATCTTACCTAAAAAGTGTACCGATTTGTCCTTCGACGAAGTGGTTGCAGTACTGTCGCAGATTTCCGGAGAACAGACATCTTTGTTCAACATCCGGTACAAGTGTCTGACAATAACAAAAAAGAAGACGAAGGTCGACTATTCCAGCTGTGTGAATCTCGAGTGCGAACGGTCATAACCACTCAAGATGACAAGTGATGAGTTTAAATGTCTCATATATGTTTGTGACCTACAAGCATCCAAAGACGCCGACATTCGAACACGAATACTGAACAAAATTGAGCAGAATCCGGATGTCACATTGCACCAAGTGACCGGTGAGTGCCAACGCATGACGAATTTGAAGCACGATACCGCAATGATTCAGCAGTTGTCCAACCAGAACGATCAAGATTTTGTCTGTGCAGTCAGCCGTACCCCCACCCCCCAAAAAGAAGCTCCCCACGTGAGTTCACCGCATTCTAAACCTCCCACTACATGTTGGTTTTGTAGAGAGTGGCATTTTACGCGCGAGTGCCCATTCAAAACTCCCATTTGCAACCATTACGGCACAAAAGGGCATAAGGAGTCATATTGCCTGGCGACTCGTCCAATTTTGTCAAAGAAGATGCGTAACAATGCCAGACCGTTCCGGCGTCCCAATTTGACCAGATCTATCACCTCAACTTTCAAGTTTGACGGGGCCAGCAAGCGCAAATACACAACTTTGAAAATCAACGGCTTCCAAGTCAAGCTACAAATCGACACGGCTTCAGATATCACCCTGATATCTCGCGACACTTGGTGCATGCTGGGGCGACCGACACTCATACATACGGACCACACAGCACGGAATGCTTCAGGAGGTACGTTAAACTTGCTTGGGGAACTGAATTGTCAGGTAAACTTCCTCGATAAACAAA